AGTTGAACTGGGTAAGTAGGAGGTTCTGTGCTGGTGGTATTCTCACATAGAAAGGAAGGAGGTGTGGTCTTGTGGTAAGACAGATGACAACCAGAGGACTCAAAATCTAATTTTAGCCAGGCTGCTAAACAGTGCGATTTGAAGTAGAGCCCACACTGTGCTCACCTTCCATTGCTCAATTTCCTATTCATTGCCAACAAATGTTCTGGACGCTTGTGGGCAGCTGTTTAGCTGCTGATCCAGGACCATACCATACCCAGGTCCACCCTTCTAATTGTCTCAACGGAAACAGCCAGTTAGGCTCTTAATTCTATTAAAAAAAAATCATATTTCCTGTTCTATGCTTCTTCGGTATTCAAGACCATCATTTCTTCACATGGATGGTCTGGGAGTTGATATGAATTGGAAGTACTTAAAGATGTTTGAGAGGCATAAGTGACAGCTAATGGTTACAACAATACGTAGTAAAGTAAGTACAGATGTCAGGACTGGAAGGGGGGAGGCTGTTGGGAAGTAGCAAGGCTTGGAATTAACTTTTGTTACAATATGTGGCCATCTAATAGCTGTCACCCTCTCAGCAATTACTACAGTGTATGTGGGTTGGTCTCTTCTGGTAGCTTTGTCTTCAGATAGTGATAAAAATAGTGTTACATTAGCATTCTCCAGAGAGACAGATCTAATAGGATATATAGATACAGGTGTGAGAGGAGATTGAGGAATTGGCTTGTGTGATTGTGGAGGCTGGGAAGCCCCACAACAGGCTGTCTTCAAGCCTGAGACCCCAGGATGCCAGTCCAAACCTGACTGAGCCACACGACCGGCATCAACCCTGATTGGCAGGTATACTTGTTTCCTTCTGTGCATTTGGCCTGAGACTCTACCTGGGGGGCTGCCAGTGTAAATCTGGAGTTCAAAGGCCTGAGAACCTGGAATTCTGATGTCCAAGCACAGGAGAGGAAGAGTGTATCCAAGCTCCAGCAGACAGACTGACACGATTGCCTTTTCTGAGTTCATCTGGACTCACACGCTAATCCCCTCTGGAACCACCCTCAGACACACACCCAAATAATGCCTCACTGGGTTTCTAGGTATTCCTTCATCCAGTCAAGTTGGTACCTAACGTTAACCATCACAAGTGTCTTGTGTTTTACTTTTTCTAATGTGTCTAAAGAGCTCTGAAGACCATCCTTCTGAAAGGAAAGGCAGGAAGGATGTACTTTGCATGAGGTACTGGGCTAGTCAGTCATGTGTCATTTCCCAGCGGGGGATTATGTATCGATTGCTGAGTGAATTGATCGCTATCATGGCCTCAGAAGAAACTAGCAATTTTTTAGACATCTTTTTAGATCCTTGTATGGCATCCTATACTGGTTTTATGTTCATGTGGATATTTGTGTACATGTGTACACACATTACTTCAACAAAGTGCAATCTTATACCTTTCCTGGTTGGGGCAGTAGAGAAATTTTACAGCCTACAATCAGACATATCTGGAAGAAGAGTGTATGATACGTATGATACCTTAAAAATTAGCACATTTAACAAAGTATAACTATTCAGTTACAATTAATGTTTTTTCCCTTTATTTTTCAAAAGGCTCATTTTTCTCCATTTCTCTACTATCAAAGTCAAGAACTGCCCAATGGCTCTGTCAAGGAGGCTCCAGCTCCTACTTCCGCTTCTCTGAAAGTCTCAAGTCCGTCAGATACTACAGAGGAAGTAGGAGATCATAAGCCTAAACTCTGCAGGCTGGCTAAAGGTGAAAATGGCTATGGCTTTCACTTAAATTCGATTCGGGGTCTGCCAGGCTCATTCATCAAAGAGGTATGGTAATCTGGTTCCAGCAGCCCAACAAACACAGCCACAGTTAGGATAGTCTCAGCTTCTCCCACCCACTGATGGCTTAGTAGAGAGACTACGTTGAAGGCATACACTGAGGGTCTCACTTGGGTTCAGATAAATGTTGTCATGGTCCCATACCCTTCAGGATAGCTACCAGTATGTCATAAGCTCACATTTTTTTGCCCCTCAACCATCTGTTCCAAACAGTGTGAGTTAACTCTAGTTGACGGTCACTATCAACCCTGTCAGTCAGTCATACGTGTTTGCCTCTGTGCATCTAGCATAACACCCCTTACCCTGTAGGGACTGATAGTGAGAAGACTCCCTGTAGCTCTGAAGCTGGGAGTGAAGAAGGGGGACCTATTGATCCCGCTTCATCCCAGAAGACATATAATATGACACTGAACCACGATTTATAATACTTCTAATCATGTGAGTATGGAAGTTATAGCTTTCATAAATAGAAAAGCATCAGAACACCTTTCTCAACTTCTATACCTCAAGGAGAAATAATAACATGATTAAGAAAAAATTCTTGAAATCCTCATCCCTCCCCTGAAGGAGGGCTAGTCTGACGTGCCCTTCTCTGTATTTGAATTGGTAACTCAGGACTTCTGTTCACAGGTACAGAAGGGTGGCCCTGCTGACTTGGCTGGGCTGGAGGATGAGGATATCATCATCGAAGTGAATGGGGTGAATGTGCTGGAGGAACCCTACGAGAAGGTGGTGGATAGAATCCAGAGCAGTGGGAAGAATGTCACACTTTTAGTCTGTGGAAAGCAAGCCTATGATTATTTCCAAGCTAAGAAAATCCCTATTGTTTCCTCCCTGGCTGATCCACTTGACAGCCCTCCAGATTCTAAAGAAGGAACAGTGGTGGAGTCGGAGCCTGACTCGCACATGGCAAAAGAACTGGTGAGTGGTGGTCTGTTTCTTTTCGTGATCTAATTCACTGGAGTGTGGGTACAGTCCCTAATGAGTATATTTAACGTCTGTTTGCTACAGATTTCTTTAAAAACTAGAAAATGACAATGTAAAGATAACAAATCAAGTTATTGTGGAGGACAGGAGGCAGTGTAAGGACGACAGATTTCTTTCATAGTATGCAGTTGACAGCAATTGTCTAGAGCTGACAACAAGTAAAAAGTTTATCAGTATTGTAATGGGAACCCCCAGAAAAGCCTGAATCAGATGATCTCAGTATGAATGCTGGTTCTGTCATTTGTCAGCTGTGGGAAAACAGATTTATTTGTTCTGTTCCTCAGTTTTCCCACCCATAAAACAGGGATAATTTGTAGGACTGTTACCAGGATCATGTTAACTAAGATAATTCTCAACTATATTAAAGTGCTTTGAATAGTTCCTGGCTCCTAGCGAGCATGTAAATGGTGACAGTTATAGACGATATTGTTTAAAATAATCGACAGGTAATCCAGTTTCATTACTAGGAAAGATTAAGCATTCTATACATATTTGGATGAAATTTCTTTGTAAGTTTCAATTTTATATTTTTGCCCAATTTTTCATAGATGAACTAGAGGTCCAAAAGTAAACGGACTTATCCAAGTTCATAAAGGAAATTTATAGCAAATCCAAGACTCTAATAAAACAGTTTAACTCAATATTGTTCTTCTTTCCATTAATTTAATTCTAATTGGTGGAATACTAACTTGAATAAACTCAGTTTAATGAACACACACAACGCCCACTGATTTGTATTCTAGAATGCTTATGTAAAGATTATTCCAGTTGTCTTTTAAAAATTCTGTACTTTCTCTTTAGGAAGTCAATTATAGTACTATACTATTCTAGTCTTTTTTTTTTTTTTTGAGATGGGTTTCACCATGTTGGTCAGACTGGTCTTGAACTCCTGATCTCAGGTGATCCACCCACCTTGGTCTCCCAAATTGCTGCGATTACAGGCGTGAGCCACCACGCCAGGACTACTAGTCTTACAAGAAAAAATATAAACAGACATTAAGGAATTTGTTAACGTGTCAAACAACATGTTGAAAACAGTCAAGTGTAGAATTCAGGTCACCGGACTTCTAGTGAGCAACTCTACGTCCTGACTTAAGTCATACAGCCCTAGGCTAGATCATCGCTTTCATTACTCTAACATTTGTAAATTATTTTTCTTTTACACAGGCCCACAGTACAGCCTCACATTCTTCTTCCAATTCTGAAGACACAGAGATGTGACGAGAACAAATAATAGCTTTGGCTGTTTATCCGAGAGTTGTTTCTGGGAATTTAATAGGAATCCTTTCTCAAGGAATGAGTTGCCACCGGTTTACTGTCTCTTTAGAAGAACACCTTCACTGGAAACCATTCATCATGTGTGACTGTCTTCTGTTATTATTTGTCTTACTGGCGGCTATTGCTGTCGGCTAATTTATGGTTAACATAGGAAGAGATAAGGCAGGAGCTAGACTCCTTGCATGTGATCTCTTCCAAGCTTCAACTTAGCTACATTTCTCTGTATGATGTCTCTTACTTCTACAGGCTCCTTGAGCACCAAAGATGATTCATAACTCTGTATAGGTGACAGCTGCTTATTAAAGCATCTTGGCAGATAAGCCTGTTAAAATTGTGCTTTTGTAACAATGTTGTGGTTGCTACAGTAAATACCATTAACAACTGCCTTTTGAGTACGCTTGATAGTGTTTTTGTTTCGGATTCACTTTCTATGCTTTAACCTTCATTTGTCTCTCGAAACCCAAAATACAATAGAGAATAAGACCTTAGTAATAAAATTCAGAATTTTCTTAAATTGCATGTCTGAGTGTTCTAAAAATTTTCCAACATTTTTCTTTCACAAGTGACTTATTCCCCCAGTCAAGTTATTCATGGTTTCACCCCACAGCATGAGGGGCAGATAGAAAAAAAACAAAAACAAAAACATCACATCACTACCAAATTGAATGTAGGGTATAATACCAAGTTAACAGGAAATCAGGAAAAAATGACATACCTGAAGTCTCTCTTTCGGTAGAATCTATTTCAGGTATACGCCGTCCCTTTCCCGGAAAAGAACAGAAACCTCTTGGTTATTTTAATGTGGCAGGATCAGATGAGGAGGGATGGGATGCTAACTTATGTTAGATCACACAAGCATAATACCAAGCTATGCTTGATAAAATGAACTTAAGGCCACAGTGTTACAATCTCTGATTTTAATGACAGTCAATCTCAGGCGAAAGCTGTAACCTTCTCCATGTGAACCTTAAAATGGAAATCCTGGGTGTTTGTTTGGCCCAGCTACCACAGACATCTCTTGCCCCAGAGTTCCAGTGTATTTTTCCCCTTTAGTGTCTTGGCTCCTCTCCGCTTCTGCACCAGCCTCAAGTCCACACAGGACACTCTCCGCTGAGTATTGTCTTGAGTTACTTCTCTCCCTCATGTTCTGGCTGATGCTACTCGTGATCCTAGCATCGCCCTGTGGGGAAGGAGTATGCTAGCGGTAAAAATGCTACATCGTGTGTGTTTGTAAAATGTCAGGCCCTGGTTCCCTCCATTTTCTTCCCCTCTGATATCTAAATTTTGAGACCACTGGCCTCTAACAGTCTGTAGTAGGCCTGAGTTCAAGGTGCCATATGCTTCTCTGGTGCCTGTTTGTGAGCCAAATAGAGGAACAGTATGCTAGAGAGAGCGCTGACCAGGAAGATCACATCAAACCAACGGTGATAGAAGTTGAACTGCAGCTCTCCAAGGACCTCGGTGATTATGGTGCGGTATTCTAGAGGCATACTCATTCGAATCAGCAGCACAGAGGAGACAAAGTACATGCCCTGTAAGTCAAATGAATTAATCCAGAAGTGACTCTAAATGTAGTGAGGAGGAGGACAAAAGAAATTATTAAAATTCTTAAAAGTATCAAGCACATTTCTGGTATTTTACAGTTGTAAACATAAAGCTAACTCATTAAACTTACCATTATCTGTGCTAACAGCAGGACAATGACATTGGAGGACTTACTGCTAGAGATGGCATAAAAGAACTGTCAAGAAAGAGGGAGATAAATGTGTGCCACATGGTTAGATTCCTATGTCATGAACAGTGAGAAATATGGTTAGCATTTGATTAAAAGTGGCTCTTCCATGCCACAATCCTGTATAGAACAATATGATTAAGGCTATAAACATGAGACTTAATTTAGACTGCTGAAAAAGGTATAGTTTTCCCCGGAGGCAATTTAATTATGTAACATGAAAGGATTCCTATTGCTGTCAAACTTCAGAAACTCTGTGACACGTATGACTTAACATCACTATAAAACATTAAGTCGGATCACTCCAGCCCAGTCCAAGCATTTGTAATTGTTACTAGGCTCCTGCGCTCTTTCTAAAATTGTGCTAGGTGACTACAGATCCCTTCCTGTCCCAGCCCCTTCTCTTCCATTTAAACAGCTCCTGGATTCTCAATCCCTACCTTTCCTATCAGAGAGGACTCACTTTCCACCTCCATGAAGTCTTCCTACATTGATTAGAAAACAGCTGAATTCAGTAGGTCCTTACTTAGTGCCATTTATAGGGTCTTGGAAACTGAGATTTTAAGTGAAATGATGTATAACAAAACCACATTTTTCTCATCAACATTATAATGAAATGTCGAATGAAACTTTTTTTGAGGACTTGGTGTATATAGTTCTGCTTAAAGCCGCTGTTTCCGAGAACCTATTGATGACATTGAGAACTTACTATATTCTGCTCCCCTACTTCCATATCTTCTCTATAAGTGATTCTCACAATTCTTCTTCTAGTCTCAAATATCTGAATACCTGCCTATCATGTACTAGGTTCATGGCACCATCAGTGAACGAAATAGACCCATATCTTACTCTATTACCTTTGGTAAATGTACTTATCTATAATTGGTTTATGATGTAAATATATCATCATTAATTTATGTAGTAGTTTAACTTTTAAAAAATTCTGTTGTATGTCTTTTAAATACTTGGGACTGTTTAAAGTCTCAGGAGGCAGAATTCTTAATTAGGTAAAATTATCTCATGGTACCGTATTTAATTAAACAAATGATAAGCAGTACTTTTTAACACTGTGATAAAACATACCTTGGTAAGAGTGATCAGCAATCCTCTGATGGACGTGACAATGATTATTCCAACAAGAATGAAGGAAATGTGTTGGGACCAAAACTTCACCTGGAAAAAAACATATCTGCTAAATCTCTGTTCAGAGAGATGTAAAGGCTAAACTATATTCCGATCATTTACAAGACTGTGAGAGGGAACTTCATTAGACCCTACCTGATTCTTTTTTTGATTCAGGGAGAGAGGAAAGCAAGTAAGTGGCAAAAACACCTACAGAAAGACTGCAGTGGGTATCTTAATTAGCAGACTTACTGAAACCTTAACAGTTTTTATTTTTTGTAAAGCCAGGGTCTTGCTATGTGGTCCAGGCTGGTCTCAAACTTCTGGGCTCAAGCAATACTCCCAGATCAGCCTCCCCAAGTGTTGGTATTACAGGCACGAGTCACTATGGCTGGCAGCAAGTACAGAGAAGTGACATAATAAATCAGAAAAAAACATGGAATGGTACAGTTTTACTGTGATGAACGAAAAGCAGGAATGAAAAGGAAACTAAATAATAGCTTGATTATTTTCAATCTCTATGAATAACAGTTCCCTAACCACCAAGACTTCAAGGAATCTTTCTCTTTTTAGCAAAAGAGTATGTAGACATTCTCAGCTAATTCTAGGAAATAGTTGCACTTCACTGGAACCACATGATACTTTTTCTCCTCCTGCATTGCTTCATAGTGAGAAGGAGTTTTGGGACCCTGTGTTTGATTCGGTTCTAAAAAGTAACTGAAAGGGAGCTGCTATTACTAATATCTAAAAGATTTGTTATTCGGAATAATAAGAAAATATGGAGTAAACAGATGAATTATAGATTGTATATATACATGGCCATTAAGTATCCTCAAAAAGTACAGAAAAGGAAAAGCATTGCTAAAACTTCAGCCCAGTAAAACACTTAAATGAAGAAAACACAAATGCAACAAGAGCAAAGCATACTTTTTGTTGGTTTTTGAGATGGGGGTCTCACTCTATCACCTAGACTGGAGTGCAGTGGCATTATATCAGCTCACTGCAACTTCTGCCTCCCCCAGATCGAGTGATCCTCCTGCTTCAGCCCCCTGAGTAGCTGGGACTAGAGGTGCATGCTACCATGTCCAGCTAATCTTTAATAATTTTGTAGAGATGGGGTTTCCCCTTGTTGCCCAGGCTGGTCTGGAACTCCTGGACTCAAGTGATCTGTCTCAGCCTCTCAAAGTGCTGGGACTACAGGCATGAGCCACAGTGGCTTGCCTGTAAAGCATACTTAATACAATTTGTATACTACTCAAAGAAAAGACACTATGTTCCTTTACACTCAAAGAAGATAGACTATTGATCTAGCATCAAGAAACATGTACGTTGAGATGTTTCTCAAGGATTGGGCTCAGTTTGCTCTGGTTCATTTTAATTTTATCCAAGTCCCTTTGAGATCAGGGGCATGTCTGACTGGGGGTCGCATGCAGACTGTGTTTACGCTGACAGCACAGCTAAATGGTCTATACTGGAACTAAGAGTGTGACGTTGGTCTTAAAGTGCTATTCAGTCAGTCTTTGGCTCTGGTTTATGAATAAAGACATTGAACTTCAATTAGGACAAGGGTGTGTTTATGACAGTGGTATTATGAAACAGGTAAAAAGACAATAAAAAACAACTTTGTTCATAGGTGACAGTTGCCATCTTTAAGCCCAAGGTCCACATTAACGGATAAAGATCATTTCTTACAGCAGAAATCATTTCAGTTCTAGCACAGAACAATAATTAGTAGTTAATTTTCCCTTAGGGCATCAAAGGTGAGTTGTGTGTTTGAAGAGCTCATCAAGAATCAGAGAGAGAAGTATCTGAACACTTTGGTGGGGAGAAAATGGTAAACTGGTAGCTGGGTACAGAGAAGCAAAGGAGCAACTATAGAAATAATCAGCATCCATGACAATATTAAGTATCAGTCATTACTTCTGGCTTTATGCTAAGAGGATCTTGGCCTTTTACAAATTTTCCATGTGAATACATCAAAATATAAAAATTTTCTAGCAGGGTGTGGGGGAACTGGGATGGGATAACATTAGGAGAAATACCTAATGTAGGTGACGGGGGCACGGATGCAGCCAACAACCGTGGCATATGTATACCTATGTAACAATCCTGCATGATCTGCACATGTACCCCAAAACTTCAAGTATGATTAAAAAAATAAAATAAAATTCAAATATATTTAACTTTAAAAAATTTTTTCCATGTGAATCTGTCAAAATATACACAGGAGAGTGGGAAGAACAAAAGCAGAGGCCAGTACCTAAAGCACGCAAATGACCATCTTAACAAGGGGAAGTTATAGCAGATAAAACAGAAAGAAACACGACAAACCAGGATCTTGATAGAACGCTTACATCAAATTGGATTCCCAGATAATTCACAGTGATCTCAATGCCTCTTGTGACAGGATCTGTTTTCCCAACTCGATCAAAAACAATATTGATGGTGGCCTGCAAAGATGTAGACTTTTATGTTAGAGCATCTTAACAATCACTCACTGTTTCAAAAAGTGACTCAAACTAATGAATTAATCACTAGAACATACCTTACAGGTCAATGATCCTAAACAGGCAATTCTATTCTCAATCCAAACCATATATAGGAAATCTCTTTTGTCTACTCACATACAGGCAAACAAAAGTCCCTATTTACTCCATCTTTCTTTTTGGTGAAGAGTCAAGGGGAATAAAGCTGTGGCATATATTCCTCAATTTATCAGAAGCCAGAAAGGTAACATTCTGGTAGATGAAGTCAGGTTAAGAGAATCAAGAAATCCCAGGGTCATACCTTGTGGTTATTTTCTGAATGCTCTAACAGCAAATACTAAAATAACAAAAAAGGAGTTATAGCTAGTAAGTCAACGAATGATATCAAATGGAATCATGAAAAATACTCAATCTCTAAGATGGCAGTTTGAAAAAAGGAAAAAGAAAAAAGAACAGATGAGACCAATGAAAAGAAATAGCAACACAGTAGTTTAAAATCCAACCACATCAAAAATAAAATCGAACCAAATCAATAATCACATTAAATGTAAATGGTCTGCACAATAGGTGAGCAAGCTCTGCCACTGGAGTGCGACAGCTGCCACAGACATACACAAATGAATGGACCTGGCTGTGTTCCAATAAAACTTTATTTCCAGAAGCAGGCGGTGGTTAGGTTTGGCCTGTGGGCTATAGATTGCTGATCCCTGATCTAAACATGCCAATGAAATGGTTAGATCAAAGAAAAACGCAAGACTCAACTATACATTGCTTACGAGAAATCCACTGTAATAAATATAAAGATACAAATAGGTTTGAAGTAAAAGGATGGAAAAAATATATTATGCTAACACTAATCAAAAGAAAGCTAGAATGTCAGGGGCCGGGCGTGATGGCTCACGCCTGTAATCCCAGCACTTTGGGAGGCTGAGGAGGGTGGATCACAAGGTCAAGAGATCAAGACCATCCTGGCCAACATGGTGAAACCCTGCCTCTACTAAAAATACAAAAATTAGCTGGGCGTCGTAGCATATACTTAGCTTCCCCAGCTATTCGGGAAGCTGAGGCAGGAGAATTGCTTGAACCTGGGAGGTGGAGGTTGCAGTGAGCCTGGATGGTGCCACTGCACTCCAGCCTGGCAACAGAGCAAGATTCTGTCTCAAAAAAAAAAAAAAAAAGAATGCTAGAATGTTTATATTAATGTCAGATGAAGTAGATTTCATAGCAAAAATACTGCCAGGTATTAAAAGGGACATTTCAGAATGATAAAAGGATCATTTCAACAAGGGTACGCAATGATTCTAAATGTTTATGTACTTAATGACAGAGCTCCAAAATACATAAAGCAAAACTGATAGAAATAAAAAAGAAATGGACAAATCCACAACGATGGCTGGATCCCCCTCTCTCAATAATTGATAAAATTAGTCAGAAACTAATAATACTATCAATCAATTTGACATGATTGACATTTATGTAACACTCCTGCCAACAAGAGCAGCATACATATCCTACTCACATACATGTAAAACTTTTACCAAGCTGAGCTCAACTGACCATATTCTGTCTGGGACAGGAAACAAGTCAATACATTTTAAAAGATTCATATCATACAAAGTATGTTCTTAGACCACATGAAATTAAATTAGAAATCAATTAGAGAGTAATATTTGGAAGATCCTCAAATATTTTATAACACATTTCTAAATCAGCCATGAATCAAAGAGGTAATCAAAGGGAAATTAGCATTTTGAATTGAATGAGAAATACAATTCATTAAAGTTTGTGAGATCTATTATAGCAGTACATAGCAAGAAATGTATAGCATTAAAACACCTATATCAGCAAAGGTCTCCAATCAGTGATCTTAGTTTCTATCTTAAGAAATTAGAAAAAGAAGATTCAAAATAAGCAGAAGAAAGGAAATAATAAAGACAAAGGCAAGAGCGAAAACTAGTTAACCCAAAAGTTGGTTCTTTAAAAAGTTCAATAAAATCAGTAAACTTCTACCAGACTGATAAAGACAAAAGAGGGAAGTCACAGGTTACCAATATTAATAAGAGAGGCATCGCCGTCATACTCATGAGGATGGCTATAATAAAAAAGATAATAACAAGTATTGGTGAAGATGTGGAGAAATTAGAACCCTTGTCCCCTGCTGAGAGGAGTGTAAACTGGTGCCGCCGTTTTGGAAAAGTCTAGTAGTTCTTTAAAAGGTTAAACATATACTTAGCATATGACACAGCAATTCTACCCCTACATATACATGTAAGAGAAATTAAAACATATGTTCACATAAAAACTTATACATGAGGCTGGGTGCTGCGGCTCACATCTGTAATCCCAGCACTTTGGGAAGCTGAGGTGGGTGGATCACCTGAGGTCAGGAGTTCAAGACCAGCCTGGCCAACATGGTGAAACCCTGTCTCTACTACAAATTTGAAAATTAGCTAGACTAGCAGAAGACAAGAAATAACCAAGGTCAGAGTAGAACTGAAGGAGTTAGAGACATAACAAACCCTTCAAAAAAAGTCAACGAATCCAGGAGCCAGGTTTTTGAAAAAAAAAAAAAACCTGATAAAGGGCATCCAGGGAAAACCTAATGTCATATTGAATGGTGAGATTGGATGCTAACACCCTAAGATCAGGAACAAGGGTAACATGACTATTCCTACCACTTCTATTCAACTTTGTACTGAAGGTTTTAGCCAGTGCAATAAGATTGCAGGAGGAGCAGGAGAAAAAGGATAAGAAGAAGAAAGACAGGAAGGAAGGACACGGGAAAGGAACAACTTAATTAAAACACTGGCAAGGTCAGCGGAGGGGCCAAGATGGCCAGCTAGAAGTAGCTGCTGTTGGCAGCTCCCATCAAGAATGAAAACAGTGAGTGAATACTGCACCTTCGGGCTGAGGTAACCAGGTTCTCTCATTGAGACTGACTAGGAAGTTGGCACAACCCACAGAGAGCGAGGAAAAGCTGGGTGGTGCAATGGCCCCACCTGGGAGCCACACAGAGCAAAGGGAGTTCCCATCCCCAACCAAGGGAGGTGGTGAGTGATTGTAGCACCCCGCCCAGGAAACCATGCTTCTTCCACTGTGTAACCTGTGAATCAGGATATCCCCTCGTGTGCCCATGCCAACAGCGCCTTGGGTCCCAAGCAGAGAGCTGCCCAGATGCTCAGTGGCCACTGGGGTTGCAGCCAGCAGCAGCAGGCTGGTGATTGCCTAAGATGACCAAGTTCCTGGGGGAGCCACCATCACTGGGGGTCCAGTCTGCCATTTACCCCTGCCAGTGCTGGGGAGAATAGGTGGTTTGGACCAGGAGGAATTCCCCACAGTGCAGCACAGTGGCTGTGGTAGACTGTGACCAGACTGCTTCTTTAGGTGGGTCCTGGATCCATTCCTCCTCACCAGGCGGGGCCTCTCTGCAGAAATTCCAGCAACTTCAGGTAGGGGTTTATGGAGAGAACTCTGATCTCCCTGGAAAGGAGCCCCTGGGGGTAGGGGTGGCTGTGGTCTCCATGGTTCAGCGGACTTAGTCTTTCCTGCCTGCCGGCTCTGAAGAGTCTGGGCAGTCCTGAGGGGGATTCCCTTTGGTGCAGCACACCTGCTCTGCCAAGGGACAGTCAGAGTGCTTCCTTAAGCAGGTCCCTGATCCAGTGCGTCCTGACTAGGTGAAACCCTGTCACTGGCATAAGGTCAGTGCCCCTCTGGGACAGAGCTCCCAGAGGAAGGAGCAGGCTGCCATCTTTGCTCTTCTGCAGCCTCCACTGGTGATACCTCCAGCTGTGGGAGGGACCCAGGCAAGTAGGGTATGGATTGGACCCCTCAACAAATGGCAGCAGCCATACAGAAGAGAGGCCTGACTGTTAAAAGAAAGACAAACAAATTAACAACAACAGCATCAACAAATAAAGACCCCCCAAAAAAAACTACATCCAAAGGTCAGCAGCCTCAAAAATTGAAGGTAGATAAACTGAAGATGATGAGAAAGAATCAACACAGAAATGCTGAAAACTCAAAAAGCCAGAGTGCCTCTTCTCTTCCAAATGATCATAACACCTCTCCAGCAAGGGCACAGAACTGGGCTGAGGCCGAGGGTGAGATGGATGAACTGACAGAAGTAGGCTTTAGAAGGTGGGCAATAGCAAACTTGGTTGAGCATAAGGAGTAAGGTTCTAACTCAATGCAAAGAAGCTAAGAACCATGATAAAACATTACAGGAGCTGTTAACCAGAATAACCAGTTTAAAGAGGAACATAACCTGATGGAGCTGAAAAACACATGATGTGAACTTCACAATGCAACCACAAGTATCAGCAGTTGAAGAGACCAAGCAGAGGAAAGGATCTCAGAACCTGAAGACTATCTTGCTGAAATAAGACAGGCAGACAAGGTTAGAAAAAAAAGAATTAAAAGGAATAAACAAAACCTCTAAGAACTATGGGATTATGTAGAAAGACTGAACCTGTAGCTGATTTGGGTACCTGAAAGAGATGGGGAGAATGGAACCAAGTTTCAAGTTGTTAAACATACTTCAGGATATCATCTATGAGAACTTCCCCAACCTAGCAAGACAGGCCAACATTCAAATTCAGGAAATCCAGAGAACTCCAGTAAAATACTTCATGAGAAGATCAACCCCAAGACACATAATTATCAGATTCTCTAAGTTCAAAATGAAGGAAAAAATGTTAAGGGCAGCCAGAGAGAAAGGCCAGGTCACCTGCAAAGGGAAATCCATCAGATTAACAAAGACCTCTCAGACAAGCCAGAAGGGATGGGGAGCCAATATTCAACATTATTAAAGAAAAGAATTTCCAACCCAGAATTTCTTATCTGGGCAAACTAAGCTTCATATGTAAAGGAGAAATAAAATCCTTTTCATAATAAAATAAATTCCTTTTCAGACAAGCAAATGCTGAGAGAACTCATCACCACCTTGCAAGAGCTCCAGAAGGAAT